TTTTTTTTTAATTTATTTTTAAGAATGTGTGGTTAAAAAAGAATAAAAAATTTGGATTTACGTGTAATATTATTTTATTGTAGAATGTCTGATTGATAAGAAGAGAGAAAAATGAATTATAATTTTAAAGGGACCAAATAGAGACTTTAAATTGTAGCCATGAGGTAGAGCAATTTTGGCTTCAGATTAATTTAATAAATTGTTGGACTGTTGATCATTGATCTTGCACCAGACGCCTTTAGTAATTTATTGGTGATGGTTTTTAATTTGGGTTTATGGAATTCTGTAGTATGTGCCGTTCTTCTTCCTTTTTTTTTAGTAGTAGTGATCAAGTTGATTTGAAATTGGAATTTGGTATTTTAGTATATTTGAAATTTGATCACGTTGTTAGGCATTGTGTTTGAAAACCTAATGGGTTACACACAAAAAGAGAACCAGAGAAATGAGATTTACCAATTAATTAATTAATAAGTGTTGGACAATTAATTAATTAGGTTGCTTATTAATATGTTGAGATTAATTAATTCATGGATTAAATTTAATTAAGTGGAAATTACACTTACCCAAGATTTTAAGATGCACAATTCAAAAATCAAATTTAAAGATTTTTTTTCTTTCAAAAATCAGATAATTATTCATCTTTTAATATTCATTTATCAACCCATTATCTATTAAACCTATCCTCAACTTACCCAACCCAAAATCCTTACGCCTAGAATTCAATCTTCAAGTTCCAATTTCTACTGCCGTGATATCTGCTTGAGGCCATATAAGGACTTATTCAACTTGCATATCAAATTTTCTTTCCCCTTCACAACAAAACTTTCAGATTGTCTTATGTAAACCCTTTTCGAAAGATCTACATTCAGAAAAGCCGTCTTAATATCCATTTGATGAAACTTCAAATTATAATGTCTCGTTAGTGCCACGATAATTCGAAAAGAATCTTTGGACGAAATATGTGAAAATGTTTTATTGTAATTAATGCCTTCTCGTTGAGTGAACCCTTTTGCAACCAATTTAGCTATAATATCCTTTGAAATGTGACCCAACCGTTTATGCCACAACATGGAAGATGATTCACGAATTGGAGACATTTTCTTTGACACATTGACAGCACATGATGTTGACCTATGGTTGATTTCAT